GGGACCGATCAGCAGGGAAGAGGTAGGAATTCTGCATGTTTGTTGATCAACTTCATTTTGCATGACAATCCACGAATCTGGCAGCTTGTAGATTAGATGTTTGGGTGCAATTTGTTGGGGTCGTTCTAGTTCTAAGTGGGGAGTGGGTGATAGAGGCACGTCATGTTTTTCGATGCCTGAAGTCGAATGGGCCATCCTTGGCTGTCCATCAGCAGTACAGGACAGGTGCTCGCAGTTCAGCAAGGTTCGAATTGAGTCTCCAGAAATGATTCGTGTTTGGGGACGCCCACGCACCCCAAATCCTGAGTTCACCTTGGGAGCCGCGCCCAGTGCCTGTTTACACAGCAACTATGATATATGCTATGCATGAGAACAAGCGCCAATTAGCAACGTAATTGATTAATATACATTTCGCTACGCAGTGTTTCTTTTGCCAGATGTTCTATTTTGTGGTATTTGACATTTGTGTCATTTCAACACTCCGGTCTTGATGTGACCACGCCTCGTTGTTCGTGACCCACGCTCGAAAAGAGGGCCTTGGCGTCGGTCTTTCGCCCCTGTGAAATTTAGGGCGTGTTGTTCGTTTCGCACCCTTCCCATCTTCACGTTCTTTGCAAGACCGCATACCCATCACTCGCGCAGGAGCAAAAGAGCCACTGACAGGGATGCGAGGCATGGTCCGCGGACAAATGCGGACAATGTTTTACCAGTTTGGCCGCAGTGAACGATGGATTTGAGAGTGGCAGGTGCGAATCTTTGCAGAAACCAATGCACGGTAGTTTAGTCATATGGTCACACATGGGTAGGACATAAGGACCACCTAGCATTGATACCCATAGAGGCCATTTGCAGCAGATAGAACACCCAGTTTGGGCCATGGCACTGTTTGAATTGAAACAAGAAAGTTGATACTCGTACAGTTTGATACAGTACCATGTGTATTTATTTGGCTGGGAGGTGTTGCAAAGTAGTTTATTGTTGATGGTTCCTCGCAGTTTTGATTCTTGAAATGCACATTGTAAGGTCAAGTTCTTGGACAAGTTGTTAATTCTATCAGGCCACTACCATCCATGTTGCCTGCTCACCACGACCAACAAGTCAATAAGCAGCTGCAGGATGGAAAAGCTCTACAACAAGGAATGTGCTGCCTTGAGCATCTTGGACAGATTCGCTGATCTCTTATTTTTTCAGGTATTTTTGGGGCAACTCTATACTCTCACAGGCGAGTTGCGAGGAAGCTTTACAGAAGCAGCCTCAGTCAGAGCTGGAACCTATCCGCTAGAAGACCCTCAGAGATGACTGTCATTATTATGTTGCTTATATATGTATAATAACAATACTCTATTCGTATATCTAATCACATCATAATATATATATATATATTAATCAGTCACCCTTTCATGTTTGTTGGTGCATTACTATTGCTTTTGTAGTATGTACAGCACTTAAAAGGCCAAACTTGAAATCCAAGCTGCATGGTGTTCTGTTCCCTCCCAAGAATGTTTGCGGCACCAAAGCTCGCCACCGTCCGTGGTTTGTTCGTGGAACTCGACAGGACGGCCGGTTCGTACTTGTAGCGAAGCTTGACGTCCTGAGGAGTTGCCTTCGAGAAGCTCGAAGCAGGGCAACAGGCGAGTTCTGTTTTTGTTATTTCCGCAAACAATGTGCTCTCGTGCTCGCATGTTTGTGCTCCTACTTGTACTATTACTAGGAACAAGGACGCTACTAGGGGCTCCTGGCCCTACTCTGGAAGTTCGCTTCTTCACTCTTGCTTGGGGTATCTTGCTGGCATAATTTTCCCACGTCACGGTTCCTCTTCATGGGGCTCCGAATAGATATCAGATGCTATCAGTATTGCAACATGATGATGTTTTGTTGACGGGTTTGTATTTGTTCATTTTTTAGAAGTTTCTTCTGAAGAAGCAAAAAAAGAACCAGCACGCTATGTATTTCAACAAGTACTGTATGTGGTGAAGATTGACAAGTTACATTTGAACAAGCAGCGAAGTGGAGCCTTGACTGAGAGTGTTCGCATTCAACCAGACCAAGACCTTGGATGCCTGATCTTTTTGCTTCTTTACACTGGATGCAAACCTGGAGGCCCTTCAGCAACCTTGCGACGCCTTCGCACTCTCAACTTTCGCCGCAACACCATAATTGTTAGACTCATGTTCCTTGCGGTGGCGGCCAAGGTTACGCATTGGTATGGGCTGACTGATGCTTGAAAGACGACCGTATCCGAGAAGAATGGTTCGACCAATGCTACCGATCTTAGAAGCAGGTGAGTCATAGCGCACGTTGAATGGTTTCAACACACATCAAAAGAAAGCTGCTGGAGCTTGGTCCAGATAATGTCCCAGAACTTGAGCGTCAGGCTTCCTTCACATAGCCATTGCTGAGGTGGTAGGGCTTGATTGATCAGCATGTTTGGTGATGCAGGTAGCAACGCATCTAATGACAAATGTGTAGACTGCCTGAAACTCTGCTGCGCATTTGCACACACAGTCAGTCATGCTGTGTTTTGTTTTTGCCAGTGCAGTTATGAAATCAGCACGTTGTGCTTTGCCATTGTTTGCCTGCGTAAGTTGTTTGATGCACCGTCCTGACACATTGTAAGACAACATGCACAGTGAGTATGTCACCTGGAGCTGTTTACCGCAAGAAGACAGAGAGCTAGAAACGTACATGTTTGTAACCATCACGGTACCCAGTTGTTGTTTGATACAACCAGACAACGCAAATACCTTCCCAAATGCACAGTGTCACATGTGTCCTTGGTCCGTCACATGTGTTCCTTCTGTGTTTTTGGAGGTGAAATCGGCCCCGCGGGAGATTTACGATCCCTTGGCATACTTGGAAGCCGCAGGGTTTGCCCAGCCCGACGGAGAGGTGGTCGGCGTGGGAGAAAAGGTGAAGGTGCACAATGACAGGTGCATGCAAGGTGCCCGTTTGGATGTACCATTGATATATATATATATATATATGATTTGATTTAATGGCTTCTACCGAAAAACCATTGACTTTACGCAGAATGTATATCATTTATATTACCAGTATATTATTTATAGACTACAAAGCCAGGTCAACCTTTCTTTGAATGGTCTTGGAAGGCTGGGTTTTGATTGAGGGTCCCCCACCGTCCATAATGAAGCTGGAATAGCGGGATTGATTGCAACCATATGAACTAACACACCACGAAGATTCATGAGGTTCGCGCCATGTTCAGTGGCTTGGCCGGTTCTTTATTTACTTTCATGTGGCTTTTACTGCCCCCAGTGAATCACGGATGACCTGACATCATTCAAGACGAACGGAAAACAAACGGTGGCTCCAGGGCCTTCATATTTGCTCCATCTTGAAGTGCCGCGACTTGCCTTTCTTGGGGTCGCTGCCGTCGATTCGCTTTGATGGCTGGCACTAGAACAAAGATCAGAGGTATTTGCCAATAATAATAATAAGTAGTTGCGTGGGTGTTGCTAATACATTTGGCTAATACGTTTGGCCACTCTGGCGTAGATATTGAGGGACCTTACAACCATGTGCTTGTCTTGACTTGAGTATACTTCAACTCTTTTTTCTTCGATGAATGAATCTCTCCAGAATCGTTTTTGTGCGTGTCTCTCCGATGGGGTTAAACTCCACTGTGTGAATCCAGACTCCATCCTGATTGCTGTTTAGTTCAACTATGTTCAACTTGTCCCGTAGGATTCTTGTGGATTCTCCCATTCTCGTCTCCCCAAATCACTAAGCGTCATCTACCGCAGCGCCGCTGATACTGTTATTTGGGAAGCCCTGTCTTTAAAGCCCTTGGGAACCACACACGAGGAGGAGCGCGGCTGCCTCTTGAGCCTTTTGGAGGAGAAAATGGAGGACACCACACCCCCGCACAGCTGCTCATTTCGCTTCGCGCCACCAGGAATTGAAGGTGGTAGACCTGGAGCCCCGAAAATCCGTGTTTTCTGACCAAACATTTGTTCAGAAACCAGTTTAGCCAAAAAAATAACCCGGCCTGTTTCAATCTCGCCGGTGGCAATTTGGGGGCCTAACTTTGAATGGAATTTTGGATGTTTGATTTGTTTTGAGAAATGCTAGACAGCATAGTGGGATGTGTTGGCCTTTTTGGGTCGCAAGCAGAGGAAGGAACAGTGCCGTTGCACCTCACGGCATGTGTGTCGGTCACAAATCTGTTTTAGTGCAGTTTCAGCAAAGTTCTTGGGTGTTGAACCAAAAGTCTTCAGAGGAAGCTGTGCTTGGATTTGTTGATCTTTGGCCCGCGCAGCCGTCCATGCGGTTGGGCTGTGCTTGGATTTGTTGATCTTTGGCCGCGCAGCCGTCCATGCGGTTGAAGACCATCATGAGTGGAATTGTGTTCTTCTGAGATGCTGTCATCCTCATGACATGGCCAGAATGTCTTTCCTTCACAGCTCGCACATGAGAAGAATGGCTGGGGAGGAGGTGCACATGTCCGGGAGGCCAACATTGCCGTTGATGGACATGTTACTGCACCAAATGTTCAGTATATGTTTTGCCACACTGCCAGATCTGCCTTGAGAGCCAGGAGAATGCCCCAACAGTGCACACCCAGGCAGTCATGTAGGTCTGGTCTCAGCAGTTGCGAGTGTCCCGGTATTGGTCATGGACTTTGGGTTGGTCCCTTTGCTTGGTGCTTTACTAGCACGAAGTCCAAATATCATAGACAGGCAGGAGTTCTTCTCGTAGTAGCCCCCTCCACAAGATGTTTTCTTTGGGGAAACCACAGCACTACCTTTGCGCTTCCCTAGCATCAACCACAAAACACTCCAGATGTTCCCGTATTTCAAGGCGTTCCAAGGACGGACACATGCATGGATGGACACCGGACAGTTTCGGATGGCGGTCTGGGTCAGATCTGTGCTGTCGATTTACATTGGTTTGATCCATTCACCTGTGAGATACTGGGAAACTGGAGGCAGTTTATTCCCTTCAAGGGCCAGCCGGCCCGCAAACCCACCATCAGATCAGCTGGGAGCATCGCCACCCTCCTTGCCGTCGGGCCGCTTGTGCTTCGCCATGTCGGATGGAACTGGAAGATATGCTGTGCCCAGCCATGCCGCATCCCTGCTGGACGTGCGGGCGAAGCGAAGAGAGGCCAGCTGAAGGGGGTCAGTTGAAAACACCGAACAGTGGTTGTGGGGCATGGTTCATTCATGCAAGGATTCACAGTCCGACAGAAATACTCAAACCTCAAGAGACTGATGACTGGTGGGGTCCTGACATTCAATTGAAATGTCTACTGTATTAATTATTTTCTATGTACAAATAGGATATGAGCAACTGCATTTATTTGATGTTATTTGTATACCAACCTAGATAGTAGCTTGGAGGTGGCCGCATTATGTTTCTCCAAAACGTTGCGGCCCCGCTGAACGAGGTAGGGGTAAGCTAGTGGGTAAGCTACAAAACGAGATCTCCTGTACGCGTATAGTGCTGTGGCATCAAAGTCACGTAGAAAACTTTAAAACGAGACTCCAGACAAGCACCAATATCAAATTCAATTGAACGAGATGTGGGCAATACGACCGTTATATTTAGTGTTAAATAAAAGTCGTTGCTCGATAAACAACAATAGATACTATAGATAGATAAATAGATAGATAGAGAAATAGATAGAGAAATAGATAGATAGATAGATAGATAAGAAAGATAGATAGATAGATAGATAGTTTTTGAGTATTGAGTTTGAGGCGCTCGTCGGGAGTCCGTCGAATGCGTGGGCACAGAGAACAGGTGTCTCCGGCTGACTTAAGAGTCAGTCATGCACCGTGGTGCGCTGCCGTAGTATACTGGTCATTTCGACCTTGAACAATCAAACACTAAAAACACATTCTGCTCCAAAAACCACTTTGGCGAGAGCAGAAGAGAAGTTCAAGGTGACTGAACAGCTAAGCACAAAGCTGCCAGTTCATGGTGCAGCCGTTCCAAGGTGCTCAATCTCCACTCGGAGAGGGCTCACATGGAAAAAACAAACGCCAGGTGTCGTGTGAAGAGCAGCCAGTTGACAATCCAATCTCAGCCATTGAAAAAGGACAGGGAGAACATGGCAAGTCGAGCAGTCCCGGTTAGTGTGTTCCTCATTCACATCCCTCTCCTCTTCAACAATTGGCCACGGTTCCGATGGCAACGATGACCAGGTTGTGTGGCTGTACTGATCCAGCGAGGGGCCAGTTTCACCTGTGGATTGCACCGGATTCTCCAGCTCGCGCTGTGTACGATTTCGTACCTGCAGAACCGCACCTGCACGGCCTTCAATCTGCTGCCAATAGTCCACTCGGGTGGCTTGGTAGTAGATCTCGAAGGGCAACCTGACTTGAGTCTGTGTATGAACCCAGTCGATGACTTCAGACACATATTCGTATTGCTGCGCTCGCATCACCACATGGACCTGATGCACCTCAATGACAACTTGCACAACCAGAGGCAAGACTGAATTTTCCAAATGCTGTCCAACCACGATGGCCGGCATATTCTGGTATAGTTCAGTCTGACCTGGAAAGGCTCTGGTGAATGCATGGTCAAATTGGAAGGCATATTCCTCACACGAGTGATAGATGTGATAGATCGCAGCTTGGTCGTCCAGCGCCCAACTAGGGCAATAAACTCCGCTTGTGACAGTTGCTCCTCTTCTCAGAGCCAGCAATTGTACCAATATCTGTGTGTGGCCAGGTGCACCTGCTCTGTCATATTCGCAGAGATATTGTCGAACCTGTCTCCAAGTTGTGACCCAGTCAAAATCAGTGTTCCGAGTCTCACCACTGAAGCCCGACACAGCGGCGGACCGTCCTTTGCTTGTCGAGCTCCCGGCCAGATCCGAAACATCATGTCCACCTCTCCTCTTGCACCCGCAGGACGTTGCATCAGCACCACTTCATCACATAGAGCCTGCTCCTCTGACTCCAAAGAAACAATGTCAGGACCTTCCTCAACTTGCAAGATGCCCTCGACTGTGCAGAAGAGGTGACTGATCATCTACATCTGCTTGCTCGAGGGCAGTCACTTGTAAGCTAGGAAGAAGCAGTGCATCAAATCATTGGAGCTGAGCCCATTGAAGAACTTCGATGAATCCGGGAGAAGTCAAGCTCATGTTGGCAAACGCTGGGCCGTTTGCCAACCCTGCTCTTTCCCACTCCTATTTTCAAAAACCATACCAACAAGGCCAAAATGCAGAGTGGACCCGGAATTGGGACCGGGCGGTGAACAAGCAGCTTGTGACAATGTCAAGGTCAGCAGGAGGGTGCGCAAAGATCCAGCTGCCGGGTGGCTTCATGGCGATCACATCACGGAAAACGTGGCCAGGAATAGCCGCTTGCACCGAAAGGTAGTAGATAGATAGATAGATAGATAGATAGATAGATAGGTAGTTTTTGAGTTTGAGGCGCTCGTCGAAAGTCCGTTGAATGCGTGGGCACAGAGAGCAGGTGTCTCCGGCTGACTTAAGAGTCAGTCATGCACCGTGGTGCGCTGCCGTAGTATACTGGTCATTTCGACCTTGAACAATCAAACACTAAAAACACATTCTGCTCCAAAAACCACTTTGGCGAGAGCAGAAGAGAAGTTCAAGGTGACTGAACAGCTAAGCACAAAGCTGCCAGTTCATGGTGCAGCCGTTCCAAGGTGCTCAATCTCCATTCGGAGAGGGCTCACATGGAAAAAACAAACGCCAGGTGTCGTGTGAAGAGCAGCCAGTTCACTATCCAATCTCAGCCATTGAAAAAGGACAGGGAGAACATGGCAAGTCGAGCAGTCCCGGTTCAGACATCGTGAACCCCATGCAGAAGAGTGTGTTCCTCATTTACATCCCTCTCCTCTTCTTCAACAATTGGCCACGGCTCCGATGGCAACGATGACCAGGTTGTGTGGCTGTACTGATCCAGCGAGGGGCCAGTTTCACCTGTGGATTGCACTGGATTCTCCAGCTCGCGCTGTGTACGATTTCGTACCTGCAGAACCGCACCTGCACGGACTTCAATCTGCTGCCAATAGTCCACTCGGGTGGCTTGGTAGTAGATCTCGAAGGGCAACCTGACTTGAGTCTGTGTATGAACCCAGTCGATGACTTCAGACACATATTACTATTGCTGCGCTCGCATCACCACATGGACCTGATGCACCTCAATGACAACTTGCACAACCAGAGGCAAGACTGAATTTTTCAATTGCTGTACAACCATGATGGCCGGCATATTCTGGTATAGTTCAGTCTGACCTGGAAAGGCTCTGGTGAGTGCATGGTCAAATTGGAAGGCATATTCCTCACACCAGTCATAGATGTGATAGATCGCAGCTTGGTCGTCCAGCGCCCAACTAGGGCAATAAACTCCGCTTGTGACAGTTGCTCCTCTTCTCAGAGCCAGCAAATGTACCAATATCTGCGCGTGGCCCGGTGCACCTGCTCTGTCATATTCGCAGAGATATTGTCGAACCTGTCTCCAAGTTGTGACCCAGTCAAAATCAGTGTTCCGAGTCTCACCACTGAAGCCCGACACAGCAGCGGACCGTCCTCTGCTTGTCGGGCTCCCGGCCAGATCCGAAACATCATGTCCACCTCTCCTCTTGCACCCGCAGGACGTTGCATCAGCACCACTTCATCACATTAGAGCCTGCTCCTCTGACTCCAAAGAAACAATGTCAGGACCTTCCTCAACTTGCAAGATTCCCTCGACTGTGCAGAAGAGGTGACTGATCATCTACATCTGCTTGCTCGAGGGCAGTCACTTGTAAGCTAGGAAGAAGCAGTGCATCAAATCATTGGAGCTGAGCCCATTGAAGAACTTCGACGAATCCAGGAGAAGTCAACCTCATGTTCACAATGGACATACGAGATCTGGATGGTCTGGTCGTTCGTGCAGGTCCAGGCAATGGAGTTGTGGCTGAGCTCAACACAGCAGGCAGGCCAAAAAGCGTCTTGCCTCGATGTAGCTCCATGCCATCCATAGCCTGGCACCTCTGAGCCCTTTTGAAGCTTCTCTTCTTTGCGACACTGATCCCGTCAGATCCATTTTGCCCTTCGCCCAGTTGTTCAGGGGGTGCTTCACTTCCCCTAGTATCCCTACCCCTTTCAGGCAAACCCTGGGCCGTTTGCCAACCCTGCTCTTTCCCACTCCTATTTTCAAAAACCATACCAACAAGGCCAAGATGCAGAGTGGACCCGGAATTGGGACCGGGCGGTGAACAAGCAGCTTGTGGCAATGTCAAGGTCAGCAGGAGGATGCACAACATCCACGGGGGGGCCCGGACCCCCAAAGATCCAGCTGCCGGGTGGCTTCATGGCGATCACATCACGGAAAACGTGGCCAGGAATAGCCGCTTGCACCGAAAGGCTGGTAGATAGGTAGATAGGTAGATAAATAGATAGATAGATGTTACAGATAAACAAACAGAGGATGAGATTCATTTCCACTTTTGTTTTGATGGCTCGCTTCAAGATCGGCAGCCACACCGGCCAATGGCTCTCTCCAGGCCTATCAGTCTCAACGAAGCGGCTGGGGATCTTGCGGCAGGTAGGATGGCTGTACGGATGCGGAGAGTTGAAGTTGCTGAATTGCAGCCTCAAGCCGGGAAACTTCACACTGCTTAGTGAATCCAGTGATTACAGTACGTAATTATATATACTCAGACATCCCATTCTCGGGAGAGATGTTCTCTACAAAATACCTTAGTGGTCTATTCACCGGGTATGACTGTTCGACATTCGATTGAGTTTGAGATAGTTTGAGCACATCAGGACCATGTCTCACATGCTTGGGCACCTGCTTGTGAAAGCGAGGAGATATGGTGCCGCCTTTTTTTCTGGTGGACGTGGAGCCTCGAAGAGTTGTTGGGAGGAATGGACCGAGTCACGTTGAGCACGCCAACAGTCCGACAACACTGGAGTCTGAAGCTGTGATCTTGCATCCTCCCGGGCTCTTTTTTGGGAGAAATGACCCCGGAGGGCTCTTCAATTTCAAAAATGACCCCGGAGGGCCCGGAGGGTTTGATCCGCTGTGTTCCTTTGGCGTACGATGTCTGGCATTGTTTGGCAGAGTCGGGACATCAGTTTGAAGCAGTCGGACATGTTTGTTCTGTGTAAGAAGTTCGAAGCTTACGGAGTGAATTGTGAGAGAGCCTATGCATCAATCGAGATTCGGGCAAGTTACGCCTGATCAAGACCACATGATGGGGGATCAATGACCACAGGCTTCGTCGGTGACCCAAGGGTTCAAATCGATGCGACCAACACCTCTGGTCTTTGGAACGAACGAAACCACACATGGAAGTTCTTCTCTGCCAACTGATGAGGACCTTTGTTCAAATGATGAACCCCGGCCTTATTCATGGCAATCCTTCCAAGCCAGGGGAGTCCGGCTGATTTTGGGGAGTTCCACGTGGGATCTCATAGATATGTAGTGAAGAGCTATGAAGAGTTTTCTCACCATTGATCCCCAGGCTCACTGTGTCATCGGAAAAGACCGGTATGATAAAGCTTTGTCCGGCGCACTGAGAAACATGTTGATAAAACATGCTTAAACTGTAGTACCCTCTCTTTTCACCAAAATGGAACTCACCGGTGGGCGACTTCCTGCGCAATTTTCCCCCCCTCACATGCCGAGCATGAGGTGCTTTGCCCCGTCTTCGCTCTCTTCTCCGTGCACCTTGGAAGAAGGCGACGGTTCGAGGACGTAGGCACCTAGGCGCTTTCTTTTCTATGGTTGTCAAACCCAGCTTTGTCCTAAGCATAGTAATGGTACAGTTTGTCCTGTCTACAATTCCTTTCAGTACTTGTCATAAGTCACATGATTTCCGCTTGTGCAAAGCGAGGTTCCGACAGCTGCTTCGCCTTTGGTGGAAGTCCTTCACCGCTTGGCACGGTCTCCCAGACCGTGCGGACTCGGTGACAACTGGAGCACGAGCTGATGGTCTTTTACCGACCAAAGGTATAGGTTCTGTACGACCACGGAGATATATTTGTTGGAACTATATGCAGTACGTAATTAGTTCAGTGTCCGGAGAATGTCTGAATATCGATGAGTGGCTTTGCTGGATCTCGCTACACAGCTCTTCATGCAGTGCTTGCGAGCTGGACAGCGCCACCAATTCCTCACTTCGCTTATGGGATCCCATCTCAGCTGAGGCTCTCATGCATGGATTGCCACTTCTTCCTTGGCGCTCTGGCGGTGGGGAACTGAGTGTCTTGGGAACTGAGCGGCTCCTGGGCATCCGAGCTTCATGACCCTATTGCTAAAGGCTTGCTCCAACATGTCATCCATTGTTACTGCCGCGATTTGCACCAAGTGACCGGGTTCGATCCAAGCAATATGAAGCAATGACCCGATCCATGCCTTTCAACATCCGCTTTTGGTACGTTCCGTGAATTCAAACATGGGACCTGGATGGAGGAGAGATAGCAAAGCTTCCCACTCAAAAGGTCACATCAATGAAGTGAGGGTCAAACTGCTAGATACGTTGCGAAGGTTGGACAAAGAGGATCAAACCTCAATCCGGGGTGAAGGTTGATCCATGGTTTTTGGGGTTTATTGTTGACACCACCGAGTGTGTTCCTGTTTGAAACTTTTCGGGCACCGTCTTGGTCCAAGTTGGACGGCAACAATACCAACCCACATTTGATGGGGGCGGGACAGTTTAGAATGATTTAGAACGTTTCAACCCATTGGGGTCTCCACATCTTGACGTGACACTCATCTCTACAACCATCCCCAGGCCCCAGACCATCTATTATGTTTGGAATAGTTATAGTTATACTTACTTACTTATATACTTTTACCCCATTTATACGATTTCTAACCCCAATGTAGGTCACAGAAATCACTCTTCCCGTTCCATGGATCGTTTGATATCTACCCACGGGACCCACGGGACCGTGTGCTTCGGCAGGCGGTTTTGCTGTGTGCTTGGACGGCCTGGCAGAGCTGTGATGCTCCGGCACAGCTATCCAGCGTTCAAGCGGCGCCTCGTGTGTTGCTTCTGTGTTGCTTCGCAAAATGGGGGCAACCTCAGAAAGGCTCGTTGATTGACACATTGACATATATTGACCGTGATTTATGGAAACAAATAATGTCCGATTTTATAGGTTTTAGAATGATTTAGAGATATTATTGGGAGCTCTCATTTTGGTTAAGATGCAGCTGAGCACTGGTCTTTTATAATGGGTAATTATTCATCTCTCGGACTGCATCACTGCACCGCTTGGAAATGCGAAAGGCAATTCATGTAATCTGCGAATCACCGCAGCCTCCTTTTCACATGCACACTACGGATTGTTTATTATTCATTTCCGGTCTCTTGTTGCGTTTGAGCCGGTATTTTTCCACGTGTGGAGAAAAACACATTTTGCAATCGATCCTGACAGTTTTGGGACCCCGCTTCGGATTTCTTTAATTGCTCAGCCAACCCGACTGACTCTTTACCCGACTTCGTTTCCAACACTGTTACCATTGCTGACCGAGGGCTATTGGACTGGGAAGGGCTATCGAGTTGCTGGTCAATTTGAGTCTCGCAGTTCTCCTCGTTGCTTCAACCGTGTTCGTCCAACCGTTCTAGCTCCGGTTGTGCCTACATCCTGTCACGCCATCTGGGTGTGTGGGCTCTGGAGAGTTCAACGTGCTGTGTGCTTGCAAGACCCAAGCTGATGTCAGATTTGTGGAAGGAGCTTGGACGTGAGCGAACGTCAGGCCCCCCTCCTCGAACTTCTTCTCCAAACGTTAACCCTGGCAACCCACATGCCCTTTTGTTTCTGGCTTTGAGTGACAGATCAATGGCACCTCCAAAAAACACAAAAACATACAAACACAATGTACAAACCACTTTGGACTTGACATATTCAATTCAGATGTGCGCACGGCCCCGGTTGGCGCCAATGCCCGTTTATGTTAGGATATTTATATAACGTATTTCAGACCAATTTATATACAGTATATAGTATATTTGGATTATTCTTGGGACCCCTGATTTTGAGAAATGCCCGTGTTTCAAGGATGTAGCCGATCATTGCCGTTCATGTGTGCAATATTTGGTATCTGTCAAGGGCTGGAGTGGCACAGCTTTCGCAAGGAGAGGAACACCCACCACTTGGTGGTCGTCCAAATGTTGGTATGGCTGCTCGCAGCTATGGATGCACTCCGACTCTCACACATGGAAGTGCATCGCGTTGCCCTTGTGAAAACGTCCCTTTTTTGTTAGAATAACCACATGGTTTCCCACGTTCACGTCATGTGTTTGTTTGAAATGTACGTTGGAGATCGCCAAGTCCCTGATAGACATAGGTCAAACACGAATAATAAGATTAATAAGAATAAGACCATCAAACATGACTTTGGACTATTGAACCAACCAATCAAGACCGATTCGCGGATGGCGAGCGACAGACCTCCGCCAGGAACCACACCTGGAGCGTCATCTTCGCTTAGTGGCTCGGCAGGTTGTGGGGGACCGTGGTCAGTGGAGCACTGCCCCGGATAAAAAGGGCCTCTTTGGTGAAAGACAACAGCAAGACATTTCTCCGTATAAGAAACGAATAGCGCCCAGGTGACATTGATGCCAAGGTGTCGTTATTTGTTACAACTAAAGCTACTGAATAGATACCTTAAATACCATAACAAGACAATTGATAGTTTGAGATAGATTGGGAGAGTTAAATCTTAGATGGCTTTAGTCTAGTCCCATCACTGCCATGGGCGGTTGCTCTTGACTGACTGATGGACAAATCCTCTTTGCAACACCTTGATGGGTATGTATGTTTGGGGTGATGTGAATCTGTTGTTTTGGTTTAGCGTTTAGAGCGCGAGCAACGTATTTTACCGGCATGACAAGCTGTGTTCTCACCAGCATCGAAAGTTAAAGCAATTGAATTCAACTTGTCCAGGTGTTTCATGGCTTCCGGGGCGACAGATGTCTAGAGATGGACTTGAAAAGGCTGAGACATGCAAAGTGCTGGAGTTGAGTTCAGACTGAACAAAGTTGCCTCCAAGGTGTGCAGCTTCGAATCTCCCTTGGCTTCGCAGGCATAAAATGCGCGCCACAAGAAAGGGGAGGAAGATCCACAAAAGACCGACCTTCCACTGACTTTTGGAATCGATTAAGATAGTGTGGCATTATGTGGCCTTGAATGCCGAAATCTTCACCATTTTCAAGAACATGTATACAGCATCCTTTCTGGAAAAACAAACTGTTTGCGGAGAACAGAGCTTGCTGGGCTGTATGGCTACCTGAAAGATCACCCCTTTACCTCTCAGTTGGGCGTTTGAGCGGTTATTGTAGACCTTTGCAGGCTGCCGATGCCATCAGGGTTGTTGTTTCTGTTGTTGGTGCCGGTGCGGGCGCCAAGAACATTTTTAATTGCATAATTGCCAATATTTGGGCGACCGAAATGTAAAAAACAAAGTTATACACCCCAGGAAACTATCATAGAACAGATTTCTGTTTTGAGGGACACTTGACATGGAACACGGTAACCGGTGAATTGCTGGGGAAACATGGTTTTTGCTCCTAAAGCCAAGCCAAAACGACGAATACATACAGTGGTTTTTGGCTCGACCTCCGGAAGCAGCTTGAAGCAGTGGCTTTCTTCTTCCCCAGCCCCCCCGGGTTAGCTAAAGCTAACTGCCGTGGACACAGACACAGCTCTTTTCATCCTGGACAACACGTTTCCCAGAACAAGAGTTGACGGTCCGGCAGGAAAAAAGAATCTACTAGGGCTCCCTGTTTGGGGTGGTTAGTGAATACCCCTTGGCCCCTCTAAGGAGCTATAATTAGACACCCCTGGCCCGGGGGCCCTGACAGCGCTCACCGGACTCCCTGGCAGGAGGCCCCGCTGGCCTCGCTCGCTTCTCCGCGAGCCCGTCAGTACGAAATGACTCGTTCAGGCCTGGGAGTTGCTCAAGAGCACCAGCAGCAGTCTGACGTCGCTGGGCTCATGGATCAAATGGAGAGAGGTGAGGATGCAAAGCTCTTGTATATAAAAGATCTTGAAGGGCCCTAGATCAAAAGGACACTCTTTATATACAAGATACTCACTCTTTATATACAAGATCTTTGATGATCTTTGTATTAGGGCCCTATATATAAAAGATCTTGAAGGGCACCAAAAAACACGGCTCTTGTGTCCGTCGCGGAGCTCGAAACGGACATCCGATTGGGCACAAGACCCTGCAAGAAACGCCCAACTGCAGGAGTTTCTGAACATGATTTGTTTGATGGGAAGAGGTGTAACGGACGGTGGACCTGAAGAGGTTATATATATCGGGTGCTCGGGCGACGGTGGAACGGGCTGGTGGCAGTCAAAAGAGCATTTCATGCTCGTTTAACGTTTGGAGTGAACAACAAAAAATCGTTAACAAATTTCAACATCAAATCAGCATGGGACAGAACATGACAGAAACGTTTGTTTGTGAAAGGAAGCCAAACAGTTGCGTTTGTAGTTTGTTTGGTATCAGTATGTAACATGATGATGTAACATGATAGTTTTGATATGCCAGTGTCTGGCCTAACATGTAAGTCATTTGTTTGCCTCTCATTTAGTTTCAATTTCATCCTACCTAGTGCTTCAATATAACTACTTCGCATTTACCACGCTGGCCTACATCTATTGATCCTGAGCTGTTTCCAAAGAAAACACTGCACAATTTTTGTTTGACCAAATTGTTCGCTCAAACTCCATGCGTTTTGTGTATTGACCTACAATATGTGTGTTGTTTTTCAGGTTCGGTCTATTCAATGTTTGGTTTCCTGTCAGATCCTGTCAACATGTTTCTTTGAGCATTGCGGCTTCGCTCCGCCAACCCAGGCTGCATTGGGTATGGTTTGTCGCTTCCCTTCAAGAGTGGCTTGCTTGAACTTGCGCATCCACCCACGCACCACCTTGACCGATAAAAGCGCGGCTGCGGCGTCAAAAAGAACATCGAACACTGTAGGTTCAGGCGTCTGTTGCATATGATTTTGTGGTTGGTTTTCTTAAGAGTGACGCTGTGACACCCATGATGGTCACGTAAAAACATCGTTGAGATTGTCCTAATTGATGCAGTTTGGAAGAAAGGAAGCGGTGCCAACACCTGCATGCTCCGGGACCCTAGTTTCAGAATGCAAGTCCAGTAACCTGCAGATTCCGTGGTCAACTGATCTAGATATTGGTACAAAGCGAGGATCCATTGCCCTATGTTTCTAGGATGAACCCCTAAAAACGAGGCATCCTAGAAACATAGGATTCAAACGATGCATCTATCTAAAAACGAGGCATCCATTGCCCTATGCCTTACTACTGGGAGCAAGGACGCTACTAGGAATAGAATGAGTAATGCATCAAAAAAGGGTTTCAGAGCGAACCCTACTCAGGATTGAACATCGCGTGGCATTGCTGCTGTTGCAGGGCCGATGCCCGTCGCCTGGTATGAACGGTGCCGGCAGCTTGGGGAATGGAATGGCAGACACAGACACGACCCAACTGTAGGTGAGCAAACCAGGGTGGAATTGCAGGTTAAAGAGCATGCACATGATGTACTTAGCCAAAACAACAAACAAGAAACAACAATGTTAATACAATGACGATAGGGTTCACCAAAACCCGCAAGGATTACCAGGGCATGAATCCACTGGGGTCACATGTCGTTTCTTCCTGTTTTGACCTGAAGGTCCCCGGGTGTTGTGGCAGAACAAGCACGAGCCTGATGAGCATGTCCCATTGATTGATTGGGGCGTGTTCTCACCTTCCTGTTGGCTGTACCCACGTTGGCTTCTCAGAACCTAAAAGTGGAGCATGCCATTTGCAGGCCACGTGCTTTGGCACATGGTCACCCCATGTGAACTCCAGGCCCGTTCCGATCACCACGGCACCAGGTTTCGTGACCTGGATGAAGCTCAACAAGCTTGCCAGTCGCGTCGGGAGCGCCCGGTTTCGCATCCAGCGAACTCACAAACGCTCTCGATGGATTCCAAGGGATTTGTGGCTGACACCGGTGAGTTGGCACAGATGCAGTAACCATTATAGCAAATCCGAGCATGACCTTGTTTTATCATTTTTTAGTGACTTCCTATAACCTATAACTACAGGGTTACCATGCTTTATGCTAAGATGAGCTGTATTGAAAAAATATTAATGATCAAATTGACATGTTTTGTTTAACCTTCAGGCCTTTTGTAGGATTTCACCGAGAAACAGTCGATGTTTGTCCAGATACATCCTATCGAACAAAACGGGGTGACAGCGGTGATGACGCAAGCAGGAAAACCGTCAAACTTCCAGGATTTTCTGAGGTGTGTTTCACACAGTTTAGGTGTTGAAGATGGTCAAATAGCCGTGACCGAGGGGCCTGGCCATACTTACTGGCTTTTGAAGCTCTACTTCCAAATGTTGAGACTTGGAAGACATACTTTGTTCAAGTCGTCCCCACTGCTTTTTGTTTCCAAGTCTCTATTAGCTGCATCGAGACGAGGTCCAGATTTGGTGTTGCTACGCCGTGCCCCCGACAACCATGCTTTGCGCCACTTGAAGATGTACCTGATGTGACGGGAGTGGCCTTGTTTGAGCCATGGAGGGCTAGGTAAGCTTCACTCATTGGGGCAGATCTTGATAGACTTTAACTTCGACACTGCCGTACAGATCTTCAGAGTGTCAGTGTCGCATGCTGCAAGCATCAACGTCTATGTGCTAAAAGAATCTTAAATATGTTTACACATTGTTTCTCGACATGAGTATTTAAGTAGCCGGTCTTCATGTCCGTCCGCATCAGCTTTGCACCAAAGCTTCTTTTGATCCTGACCTCGATGTGGCAAAACAGAACCTACGACCTACATAGTGAATAGCTGCACAGGCTGTGCAGAGGTATTTGATGACAATGATATTCTTTTTTGCTAGCATCGGTTTGGCCAGCTATTAGGCAGATAGTGTGCATGGTCATGTAACAAGTTCGACAATGACCCCTCAGTTCTGTGCAGCAATCCTGGCAGCCGGCGAGATCCATCAGTGATCAGTGTTGGGCAGTGTTAGAGCAATTTCAACGACGAGCTCCATTGTTTGGAGAAGCAAACCGTGAGGATGTTGATAAAAGATAATAAAAGACGAGCGTCTTGAAAACCCGTCGAGCAAAAGCAAACAAGATGACCACAATGAAGAGTGATGAAGACATGGACGCTACGAACGGGACTCCTGGCCTTACTACGAACGGAGCGATCGGACGCGAACCGAGCGGGGCTGCGATGAAGATCGGTCAGGGTCTCGGTGAGGGGTTGGGTCTCGGTGAGGCAAAGCCTACCACGATGGTCAGCGACAAGTACATCCAGTGCCTTGACCCGAAAAGAGGGCCTCGAGTTGAGCAAGGTGTGTTGAGGTCACTGGGCCAAGGTTTGAACGTCCGACGTTGGGGAGATGTCTTTGGATTGTGCCTGGAAATGGCTTATTCCTTCCTCATGGGCAAGGTTGTGGCAATGAGAGTCAGAGCGCAGAGTGAGTCTGAGTTTGTTCTGCAGACCCACCTTCTTGCGATGGTACCGGATGTGAGTTTGCATGTACCCAACAACATGGCCAGAGGAGTCGACCACAGGGTTAGGTTTTTCTATGTTTTTCTTCACTGACCCAACAAGTGATGGAAAGAGCTACTGCTCGGGCATGTCGGTTTCACACCGTGTGCCACCCGCCATCCTTGGTAGCCAAAGACACCCTGCCTGCTCTGAGCAACTCTGAGCCATTTTTGAATGTGGGAGCCATTCTATAAGCTAGAGTCGTCTAATCGCTCGGGCGCTCGCGAGACCGCATTCTGGGAGGGCATTTTAGATGGATGCCGGGTGTTGCCGGTTGGGATTGTTCGGGTCTTCAACAGTGCTTGGTCCAGGTGTACGGGATGAACACGATTGAACACATGTTGGGTGGAGGTCAGAGGACTCAGACCAGCGATTTATGGGATGTTGGGGTGCGTCAAACCGAAGAAGCGATCCTACTTGGGGCTCTACTTGCTCAGGAGCAGCTACTTGGGAGGTCCACTCAGGTTCCATGGAAAACTGTCATACAATTTGGTCTCGTATCATTACAAGCGAGATGATAGATGTTCTTAAGAAACACCGATTGGTTTTCTTATTTATAGGGAGACCCCCAATCATTGAGAGGTCTTTGGAGGTCCGGTCTCCCTGTTTTAATACTGTAGACCTGAGCACATCGACGATTGAAGTGACCCATGCTTCTGAGGACCTCTTACGCTTGCAGCATCCGGCCTGTGCGGCAGAGCTGCTTCAGGTGGCGGACTCCGGGGTTGGGGCACCTTGGGGTTAGGAACGGGTGATTCACTGGGACAGCTGTGGGCGAAAGGTTGTATGTGGCTGATTAGGTTCTGGGTTTTGCAAAATCCTTTCAGTGTGACATAGCCTAGTTGGCTATTGTTAATAAAGAGGTAATTTATTAACCATGACTCCTCCACTAAAAAATAATTGGAGGGGGGGATGACCTACGAATTAGATGTTCTCACGCAGAGAATATGTCGGAAAAATAAACAACAATTGCATGTTTCCAGTGTACCTTGTATCAAGCTAGGGTCATGTCTACGTTAGAAAAAACATCAAGAGGTGGTGGAGAGGTTGCACACCCCTCAATTACTGTAATTACCAAGATAGTTAGGTGAGGCCATCAACTTGCTGGTGCTTAAGCACGAGTGGATGAGTGAAGAACATGTGTTGGGAGCATGTTTCATTCAGATATTATGTCTATTCAACTTTGCTTAGGAAACTTCATGTTAGACCATTTTCAACAAAACATAGTATATTTAAATACAGACAGGAAAGACACAAGAAAAACTGTTGGTGATGCATCCCCCTACACTTCACCAGCCCTATGCTTGCCAACTAAACTAATCGACCCCTCCTCCAGAGGCCAACCCCCTGAATTATGCAATTTTGCTGTTTGGTTTTGAGAGTGATGGCTGCTTTCCTGCTTGGTTTGCACGCAGTGGCCACTTTCCTGCCTGGCTTTCAGTGTGGTTGCTGTTTTCCTGCCTGGTTTTTTGTGCCAATCAACCCCTCCTCCAGCGGCCAACACCCCCTGAATTGATGTTCGTTGCCTGGTTTTGAGTCTCGTGGCTGCTTTTCTGCTTGGTGTGCATGCAGTGGCCACTTTCCTGCCTGGTTTTTAGTGCGAGCAGAGTCTTTGAGCGCTGCTCACGTATGCGTGGCTGTGGATGGGGGGGTTGCCACCTGGGGAGCGGAAATTAATTGAGGGCTTTTTGAGGGGTCGATGAGTTAGGGGGGGACGGGAGGGCCCACGACAAATGGTTGCGGTGTAGTGATACCTTCGATTCATTTCCACAGAACAGGCGGTTGCACTTCAATTGCTGTAATTGTTTTTATTTTTTTGGGGGGCGGGGCTTCCGGGACCCATATAACATAGGGTCCATAATTAGCAACTTCCCTAAGTGAGGTGGCATCCTGCTTCTGGAACCTTCTGCCTCATTCCAGTCTGAAAACTGCCTCCAGATCTTTCAAGAATGTGTCGTCAGTCCGAACAGTTTGATCATCACCCAGCAGTTGTGACGATACTTGGCCATTTGCATGTCATGTTTGTAGTCGCAGCTGAAATTCATACAGGCCAAGAGCATGCAACCCGACTGAAATTATCCAGGCCCCTTCCAAATGTTGATGAAACTCTAAAACTGGCCTTCACCATCTCAAACTTGACTCTTGACGCTGGTGGTGAGTGCCCCTGCCCTTTGGCTGAAACACACCCTTTTTTTCCCATTTCTTTGTGAATCTTCCACGACCCCAGGCCTGCAGCGTGGCATTGAACCTCGCCTTCGATACGCGGCGCCACGAGCTGAATTGCCCGGGCGCGCGGTGAAAAAGGTGGTCGAAACCACGCCGTGAAACCCTGCGACTTTGCACGTGATTCGTAGGGTTTTGGACGTTTTGGTGTTTGTTTTTGGTCGAAATTACACAGGTCAGACCTTCACCTGTGGCTGTGCTGATGTGTGATTTTTCCTCCTCGGCTACAGGGAATGCATGCTCAAATGGATGAAATTGTTTTTGCTTCAGCAGGTGTTCTGTCCCATCACAGAATTACAGTAATTTGTTGTGAATTGAGGAGGTGTTCTATCCCACAAGAGATCTGCTGCTGCAACTGCTGTATAGATGTTCCTCAGTCGACTTCTTTGTGCAGGAAATCTTCAAGAGCCGTCCCGAGTTGCTCTGCAGCATCGACCACGAGGAATACCAGCGGCTGCAGGAGCGCGTTCGCGGCATGTTAGATGAACGTTGGTTTGGCACTGTGCATCTCGAAGTAGGTCAGATGGTGGGGAGAGACTTCACAGCAACTTTCCGAGGAAAAAACAACGACTGTCACGTCCTGGTTTAGCCTCATAGCCAAGGCTTCCACGGACTGGAGCATGTGGGATGTTCATGGGATGTTCATCCCCCATACCATGGGTTTACCATGGTTTACCATCCAATAAGTTAGCATCCTGACTGTTGAAAAGGGTAGTGCAGGAAAATCACGTTTATTTTCGCCCCCGAGTTTCGACCTGCTACATCCGCGTCCGCAGGATCTTTTCAAGAAAGAGCAGCTGGCCACCTTGGAACGTGAGGTGGTGAAGGGCCTCAGCCGGTGTGACCAATGGTGCGAGCTTGATATTTTTGAATTGAAGAACCAGAAGTTCCAAAGGGCTGGGGACTTGAGATGAGTGGTCTTAAAACCATGCCTCCTCAACTCATATAATTTGTTTTTTCCGACTTATCGAGCTCCGGCACTGTCCCAAAGCCAATGGGATGACAAACTTCTCCCGGAGGGCAAGGCAACCCTGCCAAACATGTTCGCAAGTCAAGTTAGGCAGTGTAACCAGTCTAGTCTATATCAGGTACGTGGGCCTGTTCGACTGCCGCAACGACCTGTCACCAGTCGTCAGTTCTTTGCCTTGTATAATGCGCCTCAAAAACAGCTTATACATCTTGTAACTCAAAGAAACTAGCAGCCGCATCGCGCTGTTTATAAGACTTATATAATTAAGAGAGTTACAACTTGTTTGTACTAGTACTATATAACTTGTTCAGCTTGAATCATCTTGATTCATTTGTTCCTGACCACTTCCACTTCCACTGGTCTATGTTCCACCAAGAACCGAGACGCTCACCGCTCGCCCCGACGGATCGCGTCCCCCCAAGGCGCGGCTCACGGAACGCCTGGCCGAAGTGGAGCCACTGGGAGCGGCGATAGAGCGAGTAGATCGGGTTGCTGTAGATCGGGTGTGATCGGGTCAATGTTGGTGTGAAATTGGATGTTTTTGAGACGATTACGATGGCAATGGTGTAAGATTATGATTATGAAGTCAATGGTGACTCTGACCAAAACACCGAAGCCATCTCTGTGCAGGAAACGAAGTTGTGGCAGGAGTGTCACACCACACTCAAAGAAGTACGGCTTTATATAGATCGGGTCAGGCTTTTTCAACATGAGCAATAATACATAATGACCGACTATTGTTGCTCGTCTTGTTTTGACGTGCAGTGGCTGATTTTATCGCGCTCAGTTTGCAAAAGTGTATGGTACATAACTGGGAAACCTTTGCAATCTATGGCAATCTTATGTGACCTCTACATCCACTGCTTCTGCGGCCGCTGCCTGGGAATCTTTGGCATCCAAAGTACTTCACTGAGGAGCCGGTAGTAGACATCCCTTGTGAATCAGCTACACAGCTTGAACTGAGTAGATTTAAAAGACCTCCGCTGTACCATAGGAGGCACCTGAAAGATCCTGAAAGGTTGTAAGATGTTGTCAGATGTAAGATGTTGTCCTGAAAGATGTAAGATCCTGAAAGATCCTGAAAGGAAGTTGTCTTACAGAATGTTTGGGGTGGGTTGTCTTACTACATCTGTCAGGAGTAACCTACGGAATCTACTCCCTTGTTTGGGGTGGGAAGCGAAACGATCCGTACGATCTGTACATCATCTTCCACGGACGACGGACCGGATGCCGTTGTTCTTCGGAGCCGGAGCTGTTGGGATGGCTGTTGTTCTTCGCCCTCCTGGGCGGCTCGAAACGAGGAGAACGCCTTTCAAAAGCCCAGGAAGCAGGCGGAGCTCGTGCAGGCGCACAACGAGAAGCTGGAAAAGAAGGTCCAATGGGCCACCACCTCGGACGGAACCCGACCTCGCAAAGACCGGCGATGAGTCAGATCGCGATGTATAGCGCTGTATAGCATACGGGAGCTGTGAGGCAAGCATGCTGTGTAAGCAGCGCGCGGTTTTTTTCTGTTTGAATCAAGCCTTCGTCACACCAACCCTGGCCTCTCCAAGGTGTCCCCCACCATCTCAGGTGCTACAGATGGTTAACCTCTTGGCTGGCATGAGCAAGCCAACTTATGGGAGTTGTTTTGAGTTTGTTGAACGCCTTCCTGGCGAAAGCTGGTGACGGGGGCCTTCCTCTCCCTCCTTTGAGGTCCGCAGGTTTTCCTCCGACTCCATCAGACACCTGCAGGACGGGAGTCTTCCAACAGGAGTCCTCATTTTGGTTGTTTGTGCTGATTCCTTTTGGGCCCCTGTGTTATTTTTGGCAAACTGAGAGTTCTTGTATATTACAGTATGTGTTTGTCACTTTTGTTTGGTGTGGTTCTTGCTGTCATTGTTCATCTTGTTATCACGTGTTTGCGGATGTTCTTGTTATTGTTATCGTTCTTGGTATGGTTGTTGTTGCTGCTGCTGCTGTTGTTCTTCTTCTTATTTTTCTTTTTGCGGCGGTGATCCTTGTCGTTGTCGTTGACATGTCATAGTATTGTTAACAGTATTATGACATCCTTCTATTAATAAACATACATAGATAATTATATGTTGTTTCTGTAAATGTGTGCCCTCGTCGTCACAACACTCGGGGCTTACTGCATACCAAAGTCCTTTCAATGGAGCTACTGATTTGATATAATTAGTCAGGATGTGCTGGGCATGTGTTTGTATACGTGAACACGACATATCAAAATCATATGTTCTTTTTTACGTGTATGCTTTGCCACTTCAATCCAGTCTGAAGTATTTTTGTTGCAGCTTCGTTCCTGAGTCACCTGAGCATAGACGTTTGATGTTTCTATGGTGGTCAATGGCGGTCACCATCACTGTGTTTTGGTTTCAATGCACCTCCGTGCATCTCGGTCGATGTTCTTGTCACAAATGCATCTAGCTCTCCCAAGCTCTTTCTCAAGTGTGTTTTGTTTACTGTTTACTTGTTTGGGGGGGGCGGGTCAGGGCCCAATCACGGGCCTCATCACGTCAGGAGGTGCGCTCCACCTCCAATTCTCCCCGCTTGGACCTTCATCTTCGGCCTGGGCTCGGGGTCTCGGCCCTCGACCGGTCCGGTCCCGGGTGTTCACCGCCTGGAAGCGGTGGAGAGCGAACGGGCGAACAGCCTGGGCTGTGGCAGAGGGTTGATGGAAGAAGTTGGACGTCAGGGACAATCTCAGGATCAATCGCCCACTGGTATGTTCGGGGTGCGTCCTCTCTTGATTGATAGGGGATTGAGACTCAGACAAGATGGTGTTATTTACAACATAGCGAGATCGACATCCAGGTGGAGGGATTGCCAGCTGGTTTAGATGCACATTTAGTAGTCAGTAGATATCAGTGGACTTTTAGGAAGGGACCCTCACAAGCCAGCCACAACCTAGCAAATTCCAAGTGCTTTCTGAATCCCGAGTTAAAGTCCATGCTAGCACATCCCAGCAATCTCGGTCTTTGTTGTTTTTGTCCACGCAAACCAGCTCCAGGGTAGCTCCAGGGGATATTTCTTTTTGGTGCCACTGTTTGACTACAACCTTGTGGCAATTGGTCCACTGGGTCCTTTAAGCTTGAGAGCCTAAATGCTTTGGATGAATAGGTCCTTGGTCCCCCAAAATGGAGCCTAACGCCTTATGACGCCTTGCTTCTCACCATCGTCCCCTTGAGATCCCATGTGACCGCCTAGGATCAAACAGAGCTCGCAGCCCAGCGAGGCAGGGCCATCCTGCGGCGCGATCGGCGGGCGCCCGGCTCGGTCGCGGCATCGCTCGGTGGGTGAAGAAGTGCGATCATACAGAGACACATCCGATGAGTTCGTGAGCAGCCGTCATCAGGTCGCCTCTGGTGCGTATGACATTCATGACATGCATCACGACATTCACCCGATATAGACGCGCGTCAAGGATCGCGGGGCCTTAACACATCGTAAAACAGGGCCCTCAATTTACTAAGTCACTACCTCACAAGTTTGGGGCTCACCATTTTGAGACAAGCTGATGTCTCACATTGATGCTAAAATTCCAGCATTTGCAGCCTCCTCCTCCTCCTTCTTCTTTTTCTTCTCCTCCTCCTGCTCCTCCTTGGAGAGGGCTGGATTACAATAGGGTTGGAACGTTTGAGGAAAGTTGTGGTTTTGCTACGGTTGACCAGGAAGCAGGTGATGCAGCTGCTGCCAACTTTGTTGTTTTCAGTAATATCATGTAATATGTTGGGTCACGAAGGACTTTTCAACTTATGGCGGATGAAGATACCTAATATATCCTAATATGATATGATCATAGAACCATAATTGATCATAGAATCATAATGCATCATATGTGATCTAATATGACTGTTGGGTGCTATGTTGATCAATTCCAACTTGTGCCAATTGTGCCCTTGCGGATCGGGCCAACATTGGATCGCAGGATGACCCCGATTGGGATGTCAAACAACGACCATGTTGTTCCACTAGATCCAACTACCAATCCTAGACACCTCCTTGGCCACTGCTCTCCGTGTCGCGCAGGGTCCCGAGCCGCGTCCGCTCGTCCCGGTGGGGAAGCCGAAAGCCGGTCGCCCCAAGAGGCGAGCTGCGAGGGGAAACTGTGCTGAAGAGGGGGTGAGGATCATGGGGGTTCGAGTTGTTTCGAGTTGGTGAGTCACATGAGAGCTTCTTGGAATTTATAGATGGATAGATAGATAGATAGATAGATAGACAGAGAGAGAGAGAGAGATAGAGATAGATAGATA